CTCCCAGGCTGGAAGAGTTGGAGCTGCTCCTAATGATAGCTGGGTCCTGAAATCTCACACTTGCCTGCACGGAGAGGGCCAGAGCTCCCTCTGATTCCCTGCTTCCCACTCCTCACCACAAATCTGGGCTAATTTGCCACATTCTTCTCTTCACTGGCAGCAATAACCACAAAGACCCATGTCTGTTCAGAGAACTGCACGCCCTCCTAGCACTGAGTGAAAGAGAGATAGTAAGGCCTCACACTAAAGCCCTACTCCAGCACCCTGCTGGCCACCATATCACCCCCATCACCACTGCAGGTGCAAGATGCTTCCAGAAAACCATGCTCTCAGGGACACACACATCCATTTCCAAAAGATCCAATGCCCAAAATGTAACCAGCCTCTCCTGTGCCAGGAGAAAGAATTAAATTTGACTGCTCTCTGCTCAGATTTGTATGGTATTTGTTGAATGAACATATCTATCTTTGTATTTCAAGTGTACACATGCTTGCACAAACATTTTTAAGTGGCCACTGCTCATGTGGTAGGGAGAGTTTGATATTCTTATGTGTTCCAGGCTATAAACAAAGTTAAATCATACAAGAATAGTAAAAGTAATTACAAGGTAAACAAGGTTCTGCTTTTAGCCATACAAATTCCTTCAGAGTATAGCCTCTAATATAAGTTCAGGGTCCCTCAAATTTTTTATTAAATTTTTGGGTTGTCAGAGTACTTTGCTTCTTTACCTTTAGCCAGTTCACTGCTCCCCAGTATCTTCACCAATAAGCAGGAAGGAAAAGGGGTTACATTGCCTCATCTTCCAATCCATCCTCCTCCCAGCTACCTGAGTGATCTGGCTAAAAGGCAAAGCAATTGTGTCTCAGTGGTTCCTGTTATCTATGAGATGAAGGACAATCTCCTTCACAGGGCATTCTAAGCTCTCCCTGAATCAGCCCTTGCCTTCAGGACAAGCTTCAATCCTAGCTACCCTCTGCTGACTCGGTTATGACTCCAAGGTCACCAAACAGCATGTTGTTTTCCCACATACACACATGCTAGTTTTTATTCTGGAAGCTATTCCTACCCTTCTTCTGCCACCCATCAGCCTACCTTTAAGATTCATTTTAGGTTTCCACTCACACCCACAACCTGGGTTAGGTACCCATTTCGGTAGTTTTGTTATTCCCTAGGAAAGCCTCTGTCATGAATATTCCATGCTATTATTACCATCTACTTATGTAGCTGTTACCCTTACAAGATTGTGAGTTATTTCATGCTGAGAACTATGTCTTATATCATGCCTATGGCTTAGTACCAAAGCCTGTGACAAGCCTAAGAGCTTAGTAAAATGTTTTTGAATAAATAAATACAATGTAATAAAGAGTTTTGTAGAAAATGCCACTAAAAGCTTTAACAGGCTAAGTAGTTAAAACCATAGGCAAAATAAAATGATCTTTGAAAAATACTCAATGATTTCAATTTTCTATACTCATCTTTTAAGATAGCACAAATAATTTAAAATCAGCTTTCCTTGTTTACCAGGAAGTCTCTTAAGGCCTTGTCTAGAAAAGAAATTAAAAATATCACAGAGTTTATGGGGTATAATTAAAGCAATGCTCAGAGGAAAATTCATAGCTTTAAATACAGTAAAAACAATAATGAATGAAAATAAATTAAGTACCCAACTCAAGAAATTGGGGAGAAATAACAAAATAAAGCTAAAGAAAGCAGAAAGAAGAAATTCATAAAGATAAAATAAGAAAATAATGTATTAGAAAAAAATAAAGCAAAAGAATGAAAATGTATCTCGGATTAATCTTATGAAAAAAAGGGTGGGAGGGTGGGAGAAAATATTCATTAAGCCTATAAGAAAAACAAAAAAAGAAAAGAAAGCACAAACACAAAATAGGAATTGAAAATAAGTAAATATCATAGATAAGAGGAAATCAAAAGCATTTAAAGTGATTACTGGACACAACGATGCTCCTGACGACAGCTATGTTTAAGCTTTCAGGCCCTAAGTCCAGAGAGAAGACTAGAGCTCCCGGCAGTTCTTGTGTCGATGTCCATCTCTCTCCAGAAAGCCACAGACATTGTATCACTTGCCTCAATGAGTAAGAAACTAAAGCAAATCTCTTTCAAACATAGAGAAAAAAGGAAATAGCTAGTGAACAAATGTACCAGAGCCTATTTTAAACCATTATAACACATTATTAGTCATTTACCAGAAAAAGAACAATAAAAGACAAAACTTTCCAAATTCCAAATTAAAAAATTGCTTTCTCTGAAGGGAAGGGGCTGAATAACGTTTAATTGAGCTTTTCAATAACAAAGTGAATTTTATTCAAAAACTTACATCTTAAAAGCTAAATTAGAAAACATTTCTTACTGAAAGCCTATTATGCCTGAAATAACAATATTTTCCATGCACATGGCATTTAGACTTTTATTTATTTTATTTTATTTTTATTTTATTTATTTATTTATTTTTTTCCTTTTTGTCTTTTTTTCGTGACCGGCAACGGATCGCAACCCTCAGTGTCGCGCCCGTACCGGACCGGGACCGGCAACAGGATCGCAACCCTCGGTGTTGCACCCGCACCTCGCTCAGCCAGTGAGCGGCCGGTCTGTATGTGGGATCCGAACCCTCGGCGGGAGCGCCGCCGCGTTCCCAAGCGGCGCACTGTAGCAGTGCGCCACCGGGCCGGCCCCTAGACTTTTAATAAAGAGATTTTTGCATACTATCCTCATGACCCTGTTGTATTTTTCCTATTAACAAATAAAGACCCTAAGGTTGAGAGAAGTTGAACGAATTGCCCAAGATCACACAGCTGGTCAGCAGCAGAACACAAGTCTTTAAATGGCTAATCCAGCTCTTTTCCCACTACTTCATTCTGCTTATTACACACTAGAGCACCCCCCTCAGTACTGTACCAAGCACTAACCACCCTATTACCAAGACTCTCAAAGTTAAGACTGACATCTAATGGCAAGTTCAGATCCCTATGAAAAGGAGTCTGATGGAATTTTAACTCACTGGCACTGAAGTTCTTTATAGGTGAGAAAAATGGACTGAAGGGGGATGACTTCCCAACAAGGACCCATTCACCTTGGATTCCTACAGGATCAGGATCTTATCATCTTTCAGATTTTGCAATCTAGCAAATGATAGGAAACTATGTAAGCACTAATATTGGCTATGTTTTTTAGTACAATCACAAAGAAAATCTCTTAATGTCTTGGTGCTTCTAACTGTTCATTTGTAAGTTGGAAACATATTCAAGGCGGTGACCCAATGATAAAAGTGTAGCAGATCACTGGTCTTTCCCCTTTCTCATAGCTGCTTCACATTTCAAAATTCCTTCCATTCTACCATGGCCATGATATTCTTTTTTTTTTTTTTTGTCTTTTTGTCTTTTTCCGTGTCCGGCAATGGATTGCAACCCTCAGTGTTGCCCCCGTACTGGACCGGGGGCCGGCAACGGGACCGCAACCCTCGGCGTCGCTCCCGCGCCTCGCTCAGCCAGTGAGCGGGAACCGGTCTGTATGTGGGATCCGAACCCTCGGGCGGGCGCGCCGCCGCGCTTCCCAAGTGGCGCACTATCCAGTGCGCCACCGGGCCGGCCCCCATGGCCATGATATTCTTTTTTTTTTTTTTTGTCTTTTTGTCTTTTTCCGTGTCCGGCAATGGATTGCAACCCTCAGTGTTGCCCCCGTACTGGACCGGGGGCCGGCAACGGGACCGCAACCCTCGGCGTCGCTCCCGCGCCTCGCTCAGCCAGTGAGCGGGAACCGGTCTGTATGTGGGATCCGAACCCTCGGGCGGGCGCGCCGCCGCGCTTCCCAAGTGGCGCACTATCCAGTGCGCCACCGGGCCGGCCCCCATGGCCATGATATTCTATTCCCTCTTCCCATCCTTCTATCACCAAAATCTAACTATCCAAACTCCCTTTATGTCCCAACATTGTCCTTGTAAGATTCTTTCCTTCCTATTTCATATTAGGCCTCCTCATCTACCCCCTTCAAACTACCAGAGATTTGAAAAAGAAAATAATCACTGCCTCATGCACTGGGATGAAGCTGAAGTAAAGCTCAGTCCACGACAAGCTTACCTCTACTTTTCGTGCTAAATTTTATACAGAGAAGTAGGGTACCACCAGGGAGCAGTGTCTTGCCTACTTTTAGCATGTACTTGAAGTAATTTTTCGGCTTCTCTTTTCTCTAGACTTGATTATCATTACAGTTACCTCCAATTAAGGAATCTGACATAACGGAAATACAGCAAAATATAACTGCAAAGTTATAATAATTCCTTTGGAGGATGTTGATACCATTTAGTAGACATGGCTTCTACTTCTAATTAAACACCATGGGGATAATGAGAAAGAAGGACAAGTAGAATCTACAAAGTTCCTGCAACTGTCATCTAATTTCACTGTGTTGTAAGATTGTTTATATATATAACTTAAAATCAACATCCTGGCATCTATTGCTATCCATCCAGCTTGGTGAATAACTTTGATTATATCACCTCTTTCAGCCTCAGTTTCCCCCATCTGTAAAAAATGGGGAGGATGATATGTATTGGATCAGGGTATAATGAAATACTTCATTAATCAGTACCCATAAAACATCCTAAGAGAAAGAAAAGAGAGAGATGTTATGGCATTCTGATAAAAAGATTTATAAGACTTGAACTCACTGAAAAATTCTATCGAAGAAAGAAGTTATTTTTAAATACCCTTTAAAATTATATTTACAGCTGAACATTCAAGTCTTTTTATCTATGAAATAGTTACATCATAGCCAGTAGCAAACTTAACTTCGCAATGCCTGCAAAGCAGTAATTTTCTTTAAAATTTTAGAGGAACACTTTAGTTCTTTAGCTTGAAACCAACTAACACTCATTTAAGAGGCATCGGTATGGTAATTAATAAAAATAGGGAAGGACAGAGAACCCTGTCATTAATCCTATCCTTGGGTCCAAAGAGCTCTTTGGCACCCCAGACTGTCCATACCTGTTGGGTGAGGAGATTGATGTGGCTGGATGGAGAATACTGCCTCGCTGCCTGCTTCTCAGCTAGCCGCTGAAGTTCAGCTGTAACCACACTCTGGTTGTACCGTCTGCTGTATGAAGAACCATCTTCTCCCTCCTTTTGTGTTTTGGCTCCTCCTGAATGATGCTTGTTTGGATGGCATGAACCTGCTAAGAAAAAAGTTTTCACCCACTTAGCAAAAAAATTCCTGAAAAAAGTTAGAATCAAGACAGAGAAATCTCAGGTCAAAAGACAGTTTACTGAATCCTAGGGATCTTTAAAAACATAAGCAGCAACAAACTACCTTCGAATGGTCACAAAAATAGAAATAAATCCTTACCATACCTTAGAAACTCTTCTTCTCACCAAATTGTTAACATGCACTTAGTAGCGTTTTTGCTTACTATGAAAGCTTCACAAAGAATTTGCATCATATGCGGTGGGGAATAACCAGTCCTAGAATTTACTAATCTTAATGAATAAAAAATATACCTTTGAAAATGTTAATAATAGGAGAAACTGTATACGTATGTGTGGGGAGGTATGGAAATTATCTGGACTTTCTACTCAATTACTCTGTAAACCTAAAACTGTTATAAAAATAAAGCCTATTTAAAAATAAAAATAAAGGGCCGGCCCAGTGGCGCACTGCTATAGTGCGCCGCTTGGGAAACACGGCGGCACTCCCGCCCGAGGGTTCGGATCCCACATACAGACCGGCCGCTCACTGGCTGAGCGAGGGGCGGGAGCAACACCGAGGGTTGCGATCCCGTGGCTGGTCCTGGTCCAGTATGGGCGCGACACTGAGGGTTGCGATCTGTTGCCGGTCACGAAAAAAGACAAAAAGGAAAAAAATAAAATAAAATAAATAAAAAATAAAAATAAAGGGCCGGCCCAGTGGCGCACTGCTATAGTGCGCCGCTTGGGAAACACGGCGGCACTCCCGCCCGAGGGTTCGGATCCCACATACAGACCGGCCGCTCACTGGCTGAGCGAGGGGCGGGAGCAACACCGAGGGTTGCGATCCCGTGGCTGGTCCTGGTCCAGTATGGGCGCGACACTGAGGGTTGCGATCTGTTGCCGGTCACGAAAAAAGACAAAAAGGAAAAAAATAAAATAAAATAAATAAAAAATAAAAATAAAAATCTTTGAAACTCATAATTCTTGTTTGTTTTTCCTGTTATGTGAATGCACTTGTCAGCAGCCTATGTCATCCACTGTCAAATAACCCACAACACATACAAAGCTCAAAAGGGTAACAGGGATAATAGTAAAACTGAGTGTGCTTAGAAAAACAGAAATAGTCTTATATTCTCAAATGACTGATTTTCCTTTCAGATTTAATGTTTCTGCTTTCAACTATAAATCAGAGTTCTTTTACTCTGAGCACTGAAATTCTGGCTAAAAGAAATTATTTAATATAAAATCAAGGTTCACATTTTCCCCTGATCATAAAAACCACACATCTTGTTGAAAAAAATTTTAAAAACCTAGAAAAGTAGAAACACTATAATGTATTTTTTCTCTGTCCTCTGTGATCATTTTGTATACACAATTTGGTGACACTCCATTAAAAAATATGTAACTTTTTTTTGTTTACTATGTTATTTGGTACATACAGAATATTTATAATAGATATAAGTTATAAGCATATTATAATGAACACCTGTGAACTTACTACACAACCTAGGAACTACATTACCAATAACATGCATGAATGCATGTGCTTCTACCCATCCCTAATTTCCCCTTATCATTCACACTCTTCCCTTTTTAAAGGTAGTTTTATCATATATATTAATGTATGTGTGTATGTGTGTGTGTGTGCGTGTGTGTATTCATACTAAGACAAGATACTAGATAATTTTGCTTGTTTTTGAGCTCTACAATTAGGTGTTTTCTCTAATTGTTTGGTACACAGTCCTGCATATGGGTATAATCAATAGATATACTTATCTTGTTCAAATCCTCCTTTTGTTTTCTAACTTTTATAATCTGTTTAGCATATTAATAATTAATAGAAATAGGTGGAAATCTCCCACCCAGACAGTGATTTGTAGATTCTTCATGTAGTTGTATCAATTTCTGTACTACATATCTAGAGGTTATTTTATTAGGTGCAGACACTTAGAACTGTTTTATCTTTCTGCCCAACTGAACCTTTTGTCTTTATGTAATTATTCTCTTTACTTATAAGAATATTTTATAAGTTTAAGTGTATTTTAGCATATATTAATGTAGCTTCCCCACCTTTCTTCTGGTTGGTAATTACCTGGTATTTCTTTCTTCATCCTTTTACTTTCAACCCTTCTATGTCCTTATCCTTGGTTAGGTGTGCCTCTGGTAAACAGGATATAGTTGAATCTTTTAAAACTTCAATCTGACAATCTTCTAACAAGTTCAACCCATCTATGTTTATTGGATTCTTGACATATTTGGACTTGGTTTACCATGCTTTATTTATTTACTTATTTATTTAGGCGGCTGGCCAGATGGGGATCCGAACCCTTGAACCTAGTGTTATAGTACCGCACTCTAACCAGCTGAGCTAACCAGCCAGGCCCCCTGGTTGACTATGTTTTAAGTTTCTATTTCTCTTGTTTTTTCTCTGCTTTTTGCTTGTATACTCCTACATTTGCGGATTTTTTTTTTTTTCCAATTCATTTTTCTTCTCCCCATAGATTTAGAATTTATATACTTTTATTCCTTCAATAGTGAACTTTAAAATTTGATACTGAATATTTAACTTTAAAAAGTCTATAGTTAAATAATATCTTAACCCCATTTTCAAACTACTCGATTACTGTGGAAAAACTGAACCCCAATCATTTATAGGCTAGTGTTGTCTACTATATATTTTTGTCTATATATTGTTGTTGTCTATTACTATATAGCTATTCAGAATATGTTCTCTGACCATAGTGGAAATAAGCTAAAAGCCAATTACAAAAAGTATAGAGAATTCGAACTACTTGAAAATTAAATATAAATAATCCAAGGGTCAAAGAAGACATCACAACAGACACTAGGAAATATTTTTAAATGATTAGCTTCTTCCATTCCCTACCCCTCTCTTGGAAAGAATGGAAAAAGAAGGCTTTTTAAAAAGTTTTGACGGTAACAGCGTATTGGAGACATAGGTCTTACTGAATTTCTCACAGGAGAGAAAAAATTTCAAACCAGAACATGACTGATTATTACTATTGCCGATTTTAGAAAATCAAATCACAAGAACAATGATCACACAGAAATAGCACATATACATACAATCATACTTATGACTTATTAAATAAGTCATTTAATATCTCTGATTCAAGCTGCATGTTACAATATCTATTTCATTTATAGATTGGTTATTTACAAAACATGGCTTAGCTATAATTCAACTTAACATAGTTATTACTAAAGTGTTTAAAAAGTTGACCCAAACTGATCTACAGATTGAATGCCATCCTTACCAAAATCCCATCTACCCGTTTTTTGTAGAAATTGACAAGATGACCCAAGAATTCATACGGAAATGCAAGGGATCCAGAACAGCCTAAACAATCTTGAAAGAGAAGAATGAAGTTGGAAGAATCACCTTTGTGATTTTAAAACTTACTAGCGGGCTGGCCCGTGGCTCACTTGGGAGAGTATGGTGCTGATAACACCAAGGCCACGGGTTTGGATCCCTATATAGGGATGGCCAGTTAGCTCACTTGGGAGAGCATGGTGCTGACAACACCAAGTCAAGGGTTAAGATCCCCTTACCGGTCATCTTTAAAAAAAAAAAAAGAAAAAAAAAACTAGGACACTACAGTAATTAAGACAATATGGTACTGCCATGAGGACAGACTTACAGATCAATGGAATAAAATTGAGACTCCAAAAATAAACCTATTCATTTATGATTAACTAATTTTTAACAAGGATGCCAAGACAGTCCAAAAGAAACAATACCCTTTTCAACAAATGGTGCTGGGACAACTGAATATCCACATGCAATATCCACATAAAGTTGGACCCTTACGTCACACCATACATAAAAATTAACTCAAAATGGATAAAAGACCTAAACGTAAGAGCCTAAACTATAAAAATCTTAGAAAGAACATAGGAAATCTCTGTGACCTTGAGTTAGGCAATAGTTTTTCATACATGATACCAAAAGCACAAGCAACAAAAGAAAAAAGTAGATAAATTGGACTTCATCAAAATTAAAAACTTTTGTGCTTCAAGAAAGTGAAAAGACAACCAACAAATTGAGAAAAAAATGTTTCTAAATCATATACCTGATAAGGGTCTTGCATCCAGAATATATAAAGTACATTCATGCCTCAACAATTAAAAATCTCAAATATCTCTAATTTAAAAATATCTCAATTTAAAAATGGGCAAAGAATTTGAATAGACATTCCTCCAAAGAATACAAACAAATAGCCATGAAACACATGAAAAGATACTCAAAATCATTAGCCATTAGGGAAATGCAAATCATAACCACAAAAAAGAGACACTTTCTCACCCACTAGGATAGGTAAAATTAAAAAGACAGACAATAAGTGCTGACAAGAATGTAGAGAAATTGGCACCCTCGTGCACTGTTGCGGTGGTAAAATGGCACAACCACTTTGGAAAACAGTTTAGAAGTTCCTCAGAAAGACGAACCATAAAGTTATATGACCCAGCAATTCCACTCTAGCTATACCCCCAAGAGAAATGAAAATATATATCCACACAAAAACTTGTACATGAATGTTCACAGCAACATTACTCAAAATGGCCAAAAAGTGGAAAGAAACCAAATATCCATGAACTGTCAAATGGATAAACAAAATGAGGTATATTCATACAATGGAATATTATTCAGCCACAAAAAGAATAAAGTACTGATACATGCTACGATATGGATGAACCTTGAAAACATTATGCTAAGTGAAAGATACCATTCATTAAAGACCACCTATTGTACAACTCCACTTATGTGATATGTCCAGAATAGACAAATCTGTAGAAACAGAAAGTAGATCAGTGGTTGCCAGGAGCTGGTGGGAGGAGGAAATAGACAGTGACTACTAATAGGTATGGGGTTTCTTTTGGGGATGATGAAAATGTTCTAAAATTAGATAGCAGTATTGGTTGCACAACTCTGTGAATATATTAAAAACCACTGAATTATACAGTGTAAAAAGGTGAATTTTACAAAATGTGAACTATATCTCAATAAAGTTGTTATTTAAAAATGGGGGGGGAAGGGGCAAGCCAGTTAGCTCATGTGATTAGAGCATGGTGCTGATAACACTAAGGTCCAGGGTTTGATCCCTATACTGGCCAGATCCCACAAAAAAAAGTGGGGGGGGGGACTTCACTGATAAAAATGGGTTTACTTCACTTAAAAGTAGATATTCTATTTTAAGATTTCTTTGGTTATTTATTAGGTCATTCTCAACTTTAAATACATTGAAAAATAGAAAATACTAATTTGATGTCAGGAATAACTATCCTGCAAAAAGAATGCATATAGCACACTCATAGGTCCGTGATTATCTGCGATGGGAAATCACTTGGTTAGATTGTAGACTCCTCGTGAATAAAAGCCTTGTCTTATTCATCTCTAGCTCCAATACCTAAAAGAAGTCCTGCTTCATTTTATATCAATGAATGAATGTTACTGGACGAAACATAAGACTCTTCCTTAGTCACGTCAGAACAATGCAGCATGTATCCCTTTACCTTTCAAAAGAAAAGGCAAAGGGAAGAGATAACATTCTTTTTTTATTGCGGCTAGGAAGGAACTGACATTGTGGGCTGCCTTTCATTTTCTCACTCACCTGCCTTTGCTGAAGAGGGACGAGACAGTTTCTGGCTATAGATGTGTACAGCACTTTGGAAAGAGGAAAAGGGGCCAATGGTGTAACTGCCTGATTGACAGCGTGGCAGGCCAGCGGGGCTTGGTACGTTCTGTGTCCCAGGATGTATGGAGGGAGAAGCATGGTCAGGGACTGTGTTCAGTAAAACTGTTGGCTGGTGAGTCATGTTGGGGATAGCTGGAGGAATTTGAGATAAAGAAGAATGGTGGCCAGGCCCTGGAGAGAGGTCAGAGGTTGTAATCAGAGGTGACAAATGAGTGCTGGGAATTTTCTGCAGAAGAGTAGCAGCAGGAACAGAAAAAGAAGTAGAGGAAGAATTGGTAGAGGCTAATTTAGCCTCTTTTTCTGCTGAAGTGGTAAATCCTATTAAAACAAAACAAAAACAGATCATTTTAGGAAAAATGAACATATCTCTATAAAACAAAGCAAATATTGTTTAAAACATCAAAATAATCTTAATATGAAACAGAAACCATGAAAAAATACAGACTTTAATGAGTATTCATCATGAACTTAATGAATTTTTCCTACCAGAGACAAGCTTGCAACAGAAATAGGCGTTTATTTTCAGTCCTGTCTAAAAGCTGGAGTTAGGACTACCTCTACAAAACAGAGCAGGCATATTTTACAAATGTTAGGACATCAGGACAAAGCTCCTGCTAGCAACAGCTAATTCCTTTCCCTCTTCTTTTCACCCTTCTAGGAAAAAAGACAGTGCTCAGAATCTCTAAACTTAAGAAAATGAAAAATTCTTTGGAAGGAAAATAGGCCATCAATAGATAAAAGGAAATTCTAAGGGAAAAGGGAGAATGAAGAAAAGGAACTTCTTTTGGAGTAATGTTCCATGCTTTAGAAATATTTAATATCTGATGAATACTTTTTTTCTCTTTGGGATTTATCAGAGAACAGCAAATCTATGTAGGTTTGAAATCACTCACGAGATAATTTATCAGAGTGAATTTCTGTTGCCTGTTGGTGTTTGGGCTGCTTTATTTTCACTTCTTCCATCATCTCAGGGTGATCTGAAATAAGAAATAAGAAATACTAAACTTAGGCTCTCTTACAAATCAAATGTAAGGGGGGTATTCTCTCTCTATAATTTTGTTTCCAAAAGTATAACACAATGCTAATCAACGCTGGGAAAGACTACACATCTCACCAGGCTTTTCCAAGGATGGTCACACCACAGCCCTGTTATGTGTGCAACCAAACAAATGATCCCTAGCTATCTCCAGCCTCAGCTCCAGCTAACTGAACCAAGGAAAGGTACTTAAACCTAAGGCAGCCTCCCAGAGACTGTCAACAAGCTAGGACATGCCTGGAAAGGAAAAGAAGGGCAGACAGATACTTCTGTCACAAATTCAGACTGGAGGATCTAAGAGACCAAGCTGGTTGGTGGTACCCTTTGGAGCTGGTAAGTCATAACATGTATGGAGCAGGGCAGCTACTGTGAGATAGAAAGATCAGTCCCAATATTTTTTGGCATAATATCTGGATACTGCAATGGCTCTGTATCTAAGTAAACTCCTCAATTTTACTTGAGATAGGTTGGTCAGTATGTTTAATTAGAAAGTCACTCTAATATATTTCTACTCTAATAGTTTTTCTGTACTCCAGAATTTTGAAACATAACAGCCAGCACTAATCATATACTCAGGAAAATATTCCAAATATTCCAAAATCTTTTTCAAGGGCTACACTCACACAAAAACTTTAAAAAGACCATCTTACAGATCATCTTTCAGAGTAAAAGAGTAAAGACATAAGAATTCCCTCCTTTCCATCACCACCAGCAGTAGTAATACTGTCACATACTTGTTTGTTCATGTTTGAAATGAGTCCAAATATTACACTATCAAATGTCATAATGTTGTTTCTTTGACCGAGGCCTTCCTACTGCCCCTCTAGTTATTCTTAATGGGTATATACACAGGTATAGATCTTCTTATATAAAAGTAATCCTTAACACACGAATCCTACAATTTCAAATGACCTATCTGTATAAATAGATGCTGCCTTTACATGCTATTAGGGCTTCCCCATTGCTGCCAAGAGAGTAGTATATGAATACCGACGTGGGCCCCCAACTCCCTAGGTTAGCACACTTTTCTCTACACACTAACGTCATTACAACCATTTCTCAGCCTCCCTTCCTCAACACTGTTAACAGGAACTTTTCAGAACTTTCACCAACCTTCTTCTTCTTGTATTTATCACCCAACTTCATCCACCAGATAATAAACTTTATAAAGTCAATGACTATGACCATCCTGGTCATTGTATTCCTACCAACTATCAAACAAATAGGTAATCAGTAAAAATGTGTAAAAGGAATAAATGAACAGATTAATAGTTAGGAAAGCTAAAAAAAAAAAAAAAAAAAAAAAA